CTGGAGGGGGGCATGAAATTCCAGTAATCTTGCCTGGAGAATCCCATGGATAGAGGAGTCTAGTGGGCTATAGTCCATGGGGTCTTGAAGAGTCAGACACGAGTGACTTAGCAGGCAGATAGTGTGTGTATGTATATATATGTGGTGTATATGTGTGTATGTCAAGGTGTGTGGTGAGACTGTATGTGTGTGTATTGAAGGATTATTATGGGGGAGGAATAAGATTTACTGGTTAGAACACTATAAATGAGACCAAATTTGTCCACAGTTTTCAAAGCTTTCTTATTTCTCCTGCCTCCGTGGCTTACAACAAGCTTTCAATATGAAGCTAAAATACTTGAGGGCTGCTGAGTGAGCCAACAGGGCCAGCCCACAAAAGTAATGGACTTCACCCCTAGTGGGATCAAAACAGACTTCTCGGTTAGAAAGGATCCCTATCAGCCCCAGAGGAACCCAGTAATGAAAGAGCTTGGGTTCTCCCCCAAGGTGAGATTGTCTCCATGTTCCAGCATGCTCTTGGAGCCTCTGGTGATGCCAGGCAGATGGAGTTAAAAAATAATCCCCCGGGCAGAACACTCACTGCCCTGTGGCAGTGAATGTGTCAGGCCTGCACTTGCCAGAGTGATTTTACCCTCCAAACAAGAGATGAAGTGGCTCTAACGCCTTCCACTCACCTCCATGTGGCCCCTCACGTTCATTATTCCCTGTGGTGGGCTTTTCTGGTGATTGCATTTTGTGTGTGTGTGTGTGTGTGTGAAATTGAAGAGGAAGAAAGGGAGAAATGATGAAATCCTAAATCCTGACTTACCTGAGTCTGGTAGAAGAAAGGAAAATTCTATGGAAAATACATAGAAAGAAAAGACGAAATGACTACATTTGGCAGACTTTGAACACATCTTATAATAATAATAAAATAAGAGCTTCTTGAACTAATTTGTAAAATATCTTTTGTTCTGGGTATATTGTGTGTTTCTGTTTATATACTTGAGAAAGGTCGTGTCAATAGAGAGATCAAAATTATTAATGACATCAATTTCATTGGAATTGTTCAAATAATTGAAGTAAGAGGTTAAAGGCATGAGTGTTGAGTTACTAGTTTCAACTTTGCTCGCTGTGACACCTAGCCCCAGTCACCTAAACTAGGCATTCATTCATTCACTTGTTCATTCATTGTTCATTCAGCACACATCTATTGATTTCCTACTCTATGCTGCGCACAGTTCTACATAAGCCCCATTGAGGGTATAGTGATAAATAAGATAGACATGGTCTCTCATAGAATTGACATTTTTGATGATGTGTAGAGACAATTAAAATACACACAAGTCAATAAATGAAAAATAATGCCAGCTACTAAATGATACTATTAGTTCTTTCTTGTCTTTCAGACCACAGCTGAAATGTTGCCTCTTTAAAGAAACTTTGACTCTTCAACTTAATTGCTCTAAATTAAGTTGTATTGATCTACTGTATTGATCAATCAACTGTATTGATCTAAGTATCAAGGGAAGGATTGACTTACAAGAGAGAGTCATCCATGAACATGTTGCGGGAAATCATTTGAAATCAAGAGAATAGAAAGTCATTTAGATTGAAGAGTGCTTGGAGTGTTAAAGACAGAGAGAAATTCAGCCTGGCTCGAGCCCCTGAGGTGGGAGGAAAGTGCTATGGGTGCTGGTTGGCCGAACAGGTAGGTAAAGGGGAATTTTAAAGGCCTTGGTAAAAAATTAGAGACTTACTATGAGTGTGATGGGAAGCATATACACTATGCATTGTTGTGTGACAAATTATCCATTGCTGTAATAGAACTGATGCTGCTTCAAAGCCAGTTTTAAGTTTTATTCTTGGCCATTAAAAGAAGCTAAGAAAAAAAGAAGAAGAAGCTGAGAACTTTCAAAACCTGTCAGCCCTCCAGGGTCTTTCCTTTTTTTTTCAAACAATGCTTCTTAATTTTGTCTCTTTTCTCTTGTGTTTAAATATAAGCAGGAAGAAGAAACCAGGAGCCTCCTTCAGCACTTTGCCTGGAAATTCCCTTCCCCAGCTCAGCCAGGTCCCCGGGCACGTACTTCGTCTTCCGCAACCCCACAGTTTAATGTCGCTGACCTTTCTACCATTGTGTATGTCTTCCTCCTTTGCCAATGCCATTTTCTTCCTTCCCTTCACATCCTCTCTGGTAGCCTCCTCTAGAACCAGTGGGCTTCGTTAACCCTTAGTCAAAACTCCTGGGCTTTCATTAGCACATTTTCCTAAAAGTTCTTTCATGTTTCTCCCACTTCCTGATTCCAAAGTTATTCCTGTTGTCAAACCCAGGTTCCTGTGCCCAACCCACAAACAAACTGAAATGTCAACGTTGTTGGAGTTTGGAGCAGAGAAAGGTTCATGCAAGGAGAATTTATAAGCAAAATGTGGCGTGTAATCCTTCTCTAATTGGTTGATGGTGAAGTAACAGGATGGTGTTCCAGAAATCTCAGTCAACAGACTTCTGGTTCCAAGCAGTCTGGGATCCATAGGCTGTGCTCAGCCTGAAATTACCATCTTCCACCTGGAGCGGGGGGCCCTAGTTCCTGCAAAGAACTCAGATTTTGAATCAGGTTTTTACGCACCTACCCAGGAGAGGAACCAGGCCCAGGCACTCTCCCTGCACCATGGCTTCTTTCTGCATTCCCTCGTTCTCCTAATTACTGTCTGTCTACCCTTCCGAACTCAGGGAACGTCTAGAAAAATGAAAACCTTTTTCTTATAAACAGGAAGCAGGGGACATAGAAAGGCCTTTATCTTTGGAAGGTCCCCACAGGGTCTAGCTCCATTCTAATTGCACATTTGGTTTTTGTTATGGTAGCACCTGAATTTCATGTACCAATATGTACAATGGTTATCAATTGCCATGTAACAAATTTCCCCCTAATCAAGGGGTGTAAAATAAAAGATGTTTTTTATTTCATATAGTTCCTGAGAGTCAGGCATCTGGTAGCAATTCTTTTTTAAATACATTGCTGGATTTATTTTATTAGTATTTTGTTGAGGATTACAGCATCTATGTTCATTGGGGTGTAGGTCCATCATTTTCTTTTTCATGATGCCTTTGTCTAGCTTTGGTAACAGGATTACATTGATCTTATGTAATGAGCTGGGGCCTATTTCCTCCTTTTCTAATTTTTTGGATGAGCTTGTGAAGAATTGGCATTAATTCTTCTTTAGATGGTTAGTAGAATTCAGAAGTAACTCATCTGGGCCTGGGCTTTCTTTTGTGAAAAGTTTTTAAATCACTAAGTCAATCTGTTTACTTGTTCTAATTCTATTTACATTTTCTATTTCTTCTTGAGTCAGTTTTGGTATTTTTGTGTTTTTTTAGGGATTTCTTCATTTCACCTAGAAAAGCTGATACATCATAGTATTTCCTTATAATCTTTTTTATTTCTGGAAGTTCAATACTAATATCTTCTCTTTCATTCCTGATTTTAGTATGGTAATTTGAATCTTCACTCTGGTTCTTGTTAGTCCAGCTAAAGTTTTGTCAATTTTGTTGATCTTTTCAGAGAACCAACATTTGCTTTTGTTGGTTTTTCTATTTTCATATTCTCATTTACTGAGAGAGGCTCAGAGACTCCACATTTGCCCTCTAAATATACAACATCACATTTATATAGCATTAAATGGTTAGGATTCCATCTTTTGTGAGATCCTTCTTCCAGCTTGTGTATAAGCTCAGATCCAAAGAATTTTATATATTCTGCAGAGGTTTAAAAAAAGGCCGAGAAATTCAGAATGGAGAAATGGATGTCCCGTCTCTGTGCGGACTTTATTCCCTGCATCTTGGGTCTCCCATTTTGTAACACTGAAACATTTCCACTGGGAAATCCTTGTTAACATCAAGGCGTATACTCATCATTCCAGATAATAGCTATAAAGTCTTCTCTAATAAAAATGAAGTTCCAGCCAATATTTAAGATGAGCTCAACAAAAGACAAAAGCTTTCCTCCAGATTTCCAGGTGCATATTTCAATAGTCGGAGCCAGTACAGAAATCTGTAGTGCTGCAAAATAACTGAAATTGTGATTATCCTTGAAAAAATACTAACACAGACAGTGATCTTTGCACACCAGGTGTTTTCTAATTACCTCATCCATTTACAGACTCTTCCTCTCCTCATAATACTCTGTCCTCTTCCCAACAAAGATCTTTATGCTGATATGTTATAACCCTAATGCTTTGGGTTTGCTACTCTCTCCTACTAACCACTGAATTTCTCATCAAAACTCTATTGAAAAGACACTGGCCCATTTATTGGTGGCTCAGCTGGTAAAGAATGTGGCACATTTATTGAGTGTTTACTATATGCATGCAGGGCAGTAGGCACAATAAAAGGACATCTCAAAGAAAGAAATGAAACACTTCAAAATAAATTTAGTATGTGAGGGGATTATTGTGCACTGGAGGATGAGTTGAACATGTACCTTCCTCAAAATACAGAAAGAGCAAGAAATGTGTAACATTAGAAGCATGATAGAACTGTCAAAAGTACACCAACTATGCTGTGATAAATCAGAACCAATTTTTGTTGTTTCTTCTGTAATGTAAAAGTACAAATTGCTCTTGGGGAGAGAAACAGAAAACAAGGAAATTGGTTGCACTTTGCTAGGACAATGAGACATCTATCGAGAAGGGTAACTGACGTAACTGATGCTGGTGGTCCCAGGACTATACTTTGAGTTCCTTGGACTCTCGGAGGTCCTGCTCTCTGCGAGGCATAACCTCTGTCCTAGAGAACCTTCAAATTTAGTTGGCGAGTGAAAACACACTCAAAACAAAACAAACTCTAAAGAAAGAAATAGCAATATTTATTCACTCAACAAAATTTATCAGGGGCCGACGAGTCTGGCAATTTATCAGCAAAATAAGTTGTTAAAATCAGATCCTTTTTGCCTCGGGTTACCTGAGCTGTCAAGATATAGAAGCCATACTTTCAAGAGAGTGTGAGACCACGAGACAAGACCCGCAACATGAGGTTGCGGAGGACTGGGGTCTGCCCGCAACTGACGCTCAGGCTCCAGCCTTTGGATCGAGAGAAGAGTCGGGCGCAGGAGAAACACTGGCAGAGAGATCTGCTGGTGTGCGGCGGGTCCATCCTCGCTTCCGCTTCCGGGAAAGTCAAAGGGGCGGGTCTGCGGTCTGCGACCCTGGGCCGCTGCGGTGGAAGGAAGCCGTGCGTCGGCTGCGGGCTAACACCTGGGGAATCGTAAGCACCAGAGGGGAGCAGCTGCTTTGCTGGGGGGCCCTTTCTGTGCGGCCGGTCTTTTTCTGCCAAAGGGGGTTTTCTCTTCCTGCCCACTTTTGGCGGCACTTTTCAACCAAGGGTCTCTATGTGATTAATTGTTGAACTCTTCGAGGCCCTGGTGAGGTATCATTATCCGTAATGTCCAGCTGGACAAACAAACGAGGTTGACTGCGCTGACCTAGATCACACGGAGGCCAGGTTTGGACAGAGAAATGGGCTATATCCTCCTGCAGCCAGAGTGGAAGCTTGGGGCTGGTCTCCCCGGGGAAGACTCCAATTCCTGCGCCAGGACTTGGAGCATGCCTCCTTCAAGCACAGCAGTTTATTGGGCGTTTTGCAATTGTCAGGGTGCGTGCACTGAGGGCAGCTGTGTGATGAAATCAGAGGGAGGGAAAATTTTTCTAAAAAGATCCTGTTTCTAATTTGCACCTGATTGGCAGAGAGGAAGAAAAATGTACTGCTTTAATTGGCAAGGGAAATGTGTACCTGAGACCAGGGTTTCCTGGCTTTATTTTAAAATTTTAGTTAAAAGACATATGTAATGTATGAACGAGTGCTTACACATCTTAGCTTGCAAACTTTTGGCAGCAACAAACTGCCCCAGAGCTCTCTAGAAAGGCTGCCCTATGTATGCAACGGGATCATGACTACAAACTATCCAATTAAAGGAGCGCTGAGTTTTCATAGGAGTGGAATCAGGGTAGGCAGACACAGAGATACAGTCCCTTCCCCCAGATTCAAGGGGTTAGATCTGATAGAGGAGTGCCTGAAGAACTATGGATGGAGGTTCGTGACATTATACAGGAGGCAGTGATCAAGACCATTCCCAAGAAAAAGAAATGCAAAAAGGCAAAATGGTTGTCTGAGGAGGCCTTAAAAATAGCTGAGAAAGAAGAGAAGCTAAAGGCAAAGGAGAAAAGGAAAGATAGAAGCATCTGAATGCAGAGTTCCAAAGAATGGCAAAGAGAGAATAGAAAGCCTTCCTCAGTGATCAATGCAAAGAAATAGAGGAAAACAATAGAATGGGAAAGAAGAGATCTCTTCAAGAAAATTAGAAATACCAAAAGAACATTTCATGCAAATATGTGGACAATAAAGGACAGAAATAGTATGGACCCAACAGAAGCAGAAGATATTAAGAAAAGGTGGCAAGAATACACAGAAGAACTACACAGAAAAGATCTTCATGATCCAGATAATCTTGATGGTGTGATCACTCACCTAGAGACAGACATCCTGGAATGTTAAGTCAAGCGGGCCTTAGGAAGCATCACTACGAACAAAGCTAGTGGAGGTGATGGAATTCAAGTTCAGCTATTTCAAATCCTAAAAGATAATGCTGTGAAAGTGCTGCACTCAATATGCCCGCAAATTTGGAAAACTCAGCAGTGGCCACAGGACTGGAAAAGGTCAGTTTTCATTCCAGTCCCAAAGAAGGGCAATGCCAAAGAATGCTCAAACTACCGCACAATTGTACTTATCTCACTTGCTAGTAAAGTAATGTTCAAAATTCTCCAAGTCAGGCTTCAACAATACATGAACCGTGAACTTCCAGATGTTCAAGCTAGATTTAGAAAAAGCAGAGGAACCAGAGATCAAATTGCCAACATCTGCTGGATCATCGAAAAAGCAAGAGAGTTCCAGAAAGACACCTATTTCTGCTTTATTGACTATGCCAAAGCCTTTGACTGTGTGGATCCTAACAAACTGGAAAATTCTTCAAGAGATGGGAATACCAGACCACCTTACCTGCCTTCTGAGAAATCTGTATGCAGGTCAAGAAGCAACAGTTAGAACCAGACATGGAACAGCAGACTGGTTCCAAATCCAGAAAGGAGTATGTCAAGGCTGTATATTGTCACCTTGCTTATTTAATTTCTATGCAGAGTACATCATTTGAAATGCTGGGTTGGATGAAGTACAAGCCGGAATCAAGATTGCCAGGAGAAATATCAATAACCTCAGATATGCAGATGACACCACCCTTATGGTAGAAAATGAAGAGGAACTAAAGAGCCTCTTGATGAAAATGAAAGAGGAGAGTGAAAAAGCTGGCTTAAAACTCAACATTAAGAAAACTAAGATCATGGCATCTGGTCCCATCACTTCATGGCAAATAGATGGGGAGACAGTGGAAACAGTGACAGACTTTATTTTTTGGGGCTCTAAAATCACTGCAAATGGTGACTGTAGCCATGAAATTAAAAGACACTTGCTCCTTGGAAGAAAAGCTATGACCAGTCTAGACAACGTATGAAAAACCAGAGACATTACTTTGTCAACAAAGGTCCATCTAGTCAAAGCTATGGTTTTTCCAGTAGTCATGTATGGATGTGAGAGTTGGACTATAAAGAAAGCTGAGTGCTGAAGAATTGATGCTTTTGAACTGTGGTGTTGGAGAAGACTCTTGAGAGTCCCTTGGACTGCAAGAAGATCCAATCAGTCCATCCTAAAGGAAATCAGTCCTGAATATTTATTGGAAGGACTGACGTGGAAGCTGAAGCTCCAATACTTTGTTTACCTGATGCGAAGAACTGACTCATTAGAAAAGACCCTGTTGCTGGGAAAGATTGAAGGCGGGAGGAGAAGGGGATGACAGAGGATGAGATGGTTGGATGGTATCACTTACTGGATGGACATGAGCTTGAGTAAGCTCTGGGAGTTGGTGATGGATTGGGAACCCTGGCATGCTGCAGTCCATGGGATCACAAAGAGTCGGACACGACTGAGGAACTGAACTGAACTGCCTCCAGAAGCTTATATTATTGATAAAGTTCCATTTTAATTAAGAGTAGATTCTAAAATTGGTGAATAGAGACTTCCCTGGTGGTCCAGTGGTTAAAACTACACTCCTAATGCATGGAGCCTGGGTCTGATCCCGGGTCAGAGAACTATTAACGGATCCTGCATGCTGCAACTAAAGGCTCAGACAGCTTTCCCTGTACCCACTCCCTGGCAAAAAAGAAAAAAAAAAATTGTGAGTAAATAGAAAATCTCACTTAATCAAAATTACCCCCAAGGGCCTTCCCTGGCAGTCCAGTGGTTAAGAGTTTTCCTTCCATTGCAGGGTTGCAGGCTCAGTCCTTGGTCAGGGAGCTAAAATCCCACATGCCTCATGGCAAAAAAAAAAAAAAATCCAAAACATAAAAAACAGAATAGATATTGTAACAAATTCAATAGAGATGTCTATATTAAAACAAAATCTTGAAAAAAATTACCTTCAAAAAATTCTTTAACTTGTCCATGAAATGTTGCATACATGAGTTGTATATATAAATCTGTACAATAATTCATCTGTCCTTTGCATTTTAAGAACTTTAAGAATCATAGTGCAAGGAACGAAAGATCATGTAGTTTTTCTGAACATTCAAACTTGCCTACCTATAAGACAGCTGTGACTAGGGCATGGACTGTAGTATCATACAGTGGATTGGCTTAGATTCTCTGCATAACAAGCAACCCTAAAACTCAGTGGGTTAAAATAGCAACCATTTGTTCTCGTGGGGCTGCTGCTCAGTAGAGTGTCAGGGCATTTGCCTGGCCTGGGCTGGGACAGCTCAGCTTTACTCCACGATTGGGCTGGGACAGCTCAGCTTTACTCCACGATTTCTTCATCCTTCCCCTGAGACAAGCGAGCTGTGTGAGACTAGTGGTCATGTTCTGTTTTCATGGCACTGGCAGAGGCTTTGAGTCACAGGATCAGAGAGTCAGAGGAGTAGAGAGGATAGGAGCAGGAAGAACCTTTAGTAATAATAAAATAAATAAACTTACCTCTGGTGTGCAACTGCTCCGAAGGCAAGGCACTCACCTCACTCAGCATTGGGTCCCTGCCCTTGCCTCACCTTCTCGTGGTAGGTGCTCAGTTAATAGCTGCTGACCGATGAATGTTAATTACATTGGATCTTCAAAGACACAGGTTACATTGATCCTGAAGGCCAGGTGGAATAACACACTGGGGCCATCTGTCCAAGTCAGGATAGAAGCACAGGCTTGATTAGCAAGCAGCTTTGATCTCAAAGGACCTTGTGATTCTTGTGACATTTTCTGGAAAAAAACAAACAAACAAACTTAAGCTTGTGAGCTTCCTGAGGCCAGATCCATCTCTTAATTATCATATCTTTCCAGAGATCAGCACAGTGTCCCAGGAGAGCTAGATCTTTACTTCTATACTCAGCCATAACCCTGTGAGATTAGTGACATGTTTTTAAGAAGAATGGAACCCTCAGGGAGCAAGAGCATTCAGGTTAATCCTACAGGGGGACAGGGCTATAGAGGGGAGTTTTCAACAAGCTTTCAGAGAAAAGGCGAAGGCTTCCTCTTCTTTACTGGTTGAAAGGCAAGTGCTTTGTTTTCCACAAAAACACCTGTGGCTTTGATCTTGGATTTCTTCTATAGATAGAAAATGAGCACTGCCTTTAACAAGGGAATGCAGGGCTAGTCTGTGCTGTGTGTAAAGTCTCATACGTCTCCTGAGAATATGCCGGAGCTCCGTCCTTAAAGCCTGCAGTCCGAGCAGACATCAGACAGCATCTAATATCAGGACTGAGGGGAAGTGGAGGTGGGTTCTCGGCACTAGCCTCGGGCTGTTGGGAGGCGCAGTCTGACTTTCAGAGAGCCTCATTTCCTTGTCTAGTAAGTGGATGTAAATAGCCATGTGCTTAACACTCTGGACAAAGCAGGGAGATTGGTTCCCAGGGAGAAACTTGGCATTGACCTTCAGAGAGGATAGGACTTAAAGTTTGGGAATCATTCCCCAAGTCACACTACTTCACAGAAACTAAGAGTTGAAAGAAACCTTGAAATCTGTAGAATTTAGATAGGATTTAAACAAGGAGAGAGAGAGGTTAATGCCTCTGGGAGATGAAATAGTTGGAATAAAGAGACTCAAATGGAGAGGTAGTGAAAATGTGTTGGCAAAGGAGGGGCAAGAGCTTAGCAAGTCCGAATTCTTTAAAGGTTTTTTTA